ACAAGACAGGCTGTGGTTGGAGAACGCTTCCTGAGCATTGTCTGTCTGTCTCCTTCTTGCCAATCAACATCCCTCCGCACTCCTCCATCCCTCATCCTCTGTTGTAGCTATGGCCTGGCCCGTTCCATGCTGATGGCTGCCAGGTTCATATCTTGGGCCTCCTCTGTCATGTGAACTTCCATTCTTGTGTGTTTCAGCTCCCCACTGGACCTCTGACTCTATCCAAATGTCCCATGGATGCTCCATATACCACATGTAGAGAACAGGACTTGTCTTCTCAAGCTTTCCTTGTCTTTGTGAGTGCTGTTACCACCTAGTCCTCACACTGGAAGCCCAAGGCTCACTCACTTCTCTCTCTCTCTCTCTCATCCTAACACTTGTCTGTCTCATGCCTTGTGATGGTATCTCTTAAATATTTCTCAAATCCCTCCTGTCCTTTTGATCGCTACCACCACTGCCTTAAAATGAGGCTTCTTACCATTCATTGTCCAGGCTTCGGCAAGAGCCCTAGAACTCCTTATCTGTCACAGAGCCCGGGTTTTATCTTCCTTTATATCTCTAACTACATCCAGAATCCAGGTCTTGTCTTCCTTTACCAGCCATGGAACCTTAACCAAGTTACTACGTTCTCAGACTTAGTGTCCTCATTTGTCAAATAGAGGTCATAACAGTACCTCCTTCATGAGATTGTCAGGAGATTAGAGGAAGCAATTATAAAATATATGTAAAGCACTTAGCAGGGTGCCCAGCACATAGTAGATGCTCAATGAATGGTGGCTGTTACTACTGTTAGTGCCTGGGGTCTGTCCTGTGCTCTCTACCTTCTAGGTAAAAGTTACAAACCATGACTCAGACCTTGTTACTTTCCTTCTCCATGCTTTAGGCACCTTGTCACCTATAGATAAAACTCTAACCTCAGGCGGGCCAGGGCTGCATAATGACTTTTGTGGGCCCTAGGCACTTTGGCCTTTATGGGTTTTTCTCCATAAAGAACAATATTAAAAATTATATTTTATGACTGCATTGCTCTGATTTAAGAAGAAATTTAAACATTTTCCTGGGCCCCTAAAAGTATTGTGGGCCCTAGGTGCTATGTGTACTGTGATGAATAGGTAAGTCCTCCCTGAAGGGGATGTGTGCCTTCCCTCTCTTTTTGTCCAATTTTCCTGGAGTTAGTTTCTCTCTCCCTTTCCCTACCTCCCTCTTTCCTCCCTCCCTCCTGCTCCCTCCTGCTTCCTTGCTGTCTTTCCTTTGTGTGTGTGTTACTCATTTTTGTTCTTTTGTTTATTATTGCTTTCTTTGGATTTCCTCTCTTCTTTTTCTAACTCCTTGAGTTAGATGCTGATGCTTAACTCATTGATGATCAGTCTTTCAATTTGTACCCTAATATGTGCATTTAATGTTATAGCGTTCCTTCCAAGTATTGTTTTAGCACTAGCCTACAAGTTTTGAGATGTGCTGCTTCATGTTCTATCAGTTTCATATGTCTTCTGATGGCACTATGATTGATTATTTAACCCAGGATTGTTTTAGAAGTCCTTTTAAATTGCCAAAATGTGTGGATTCTTTGTGGTATTTTTATTATTGGTTTCTCGGGGTTTTTTATTGCTTTATGTTCAAAGATGATATGTAAGAAAGGTTGAGACTTGTTTGTGTCCTGTCAATTGCTAAAATGTTCCATATGCTCTTGTAGAAAATGTGTACTCATTATCAAAGTTCCAACAACATTTTTCACAGAAATAGAACAAAGAATCCTAAAATTTATATGGAACAACAAAAGACCTCGAATAGCCAAAGGATTCCTGAGAAAAAAGAACAAAGCTGGAGGTATCACGCTCCCTGATTTTGAAATATGCTACAAAGCCATAGTAACCAAAACATCATGGTACTGGCACAAAAACAGACACACAGATCAATGGAACAGAATTGGGAGCCCAGAAGTAAACCCACACATTTATGGACAGCTAATATTTGACAAGGGAGCCAAGAGCATATGATGGAGAAAAGAGTGTGTTTTCAATAAATGGTGTTGGGAAAACTGGACAGCCACATGCAAAAGAATGAAAGTAGACCATTCCCTTACACCATGCGCAAAAATCAACTCAAAATGGATTAAAGACTTGAATGTAAAACCCAAAACCATGAAACTTCTAGAAGAAAACATAAGCAGTATGCTCTTTGACATTGGTCTGAGCAGCATATTTTCAAGTCCCATGTCTGACCGGGCAAGGGAAACAAAAGAAAAAATGAACAAATGGGACCACATCAAACTAAAAAGCTTCTGCACAGCAAAGGAAACCATCAACAAAACAAAATGACAACCTAACAATTGGGAGAATATATCTGCAAACCATATATCAGATGAGGGGTTAATATCCAAAATATACAAAGAAATAATACAGTTCAAGAACAAAAATACCAACAATCCAATTAGAAAATGGGCAGAAGATCTGAACAGAGATTTCTCCGAAGAAGATATACGGATGGCCAACAGGCATATGAAAAGATGCTCAACATCATTAGCTATCAGGGAAATGCAAATCAAAACTACAGTGAGGTATCACCTCACTCTGGTCAGAATGGCTATAATTAACAAGACAGGAAACAACAAATGTTGGAGAGGATGTGGAGAGAAGGGAACCCTTGTTCACTGCTGGTGGGAGTGCAAGCTAGTGCAACCACTATGGACAGCAGTATGGAGTATCCTCAGAAAGTTAAGCATAGATCTACCATATGATCCAGCTATCCCACTGCTGGGTATTTATCCAAAGAACTTGAAAACACAAAGACATAAAGATACTTGCACCCCTATGTTCATTGCAGCATTATACACAGTAGCCAAGACTTGAAGCAACCTAGGTGCCCATCAAGGGACGAATGGATAAAGAAGATGTGGTATTTATACATGATGGAATGCTACTCAGCCATAAGAAATGATGAAATCGGCCATTTGTGACAACATGGATGGACCTTGAGGGAATTATGCTGAGTGAAAGAAGTCAGAGGGAAAAAGTCAAATACAATATGATCTCACTCATAAGTAGAAGTTAAAAACAACGACAAACAAGCATGTAGCATTGGAGATTGAATTGGTGGTTACCTAATGGGAAGGGGGAAGGGGGGAGGGCAAAAGGGATGATTAGGCTCACATGTGAGGGGATGGACTATAATTAGTTTTTGGGTGGTGAACATGATGTAATCTACACAGAATTCAAAATATATTATGATGTACATGTGAAAAGAAAGAAAGAAAGGGAGGGAGGGAGGGAGGGAGGAAGGAAAGAAGAGAAAGAAGAGAAAGAAAAGAAAAGGAAGAAAGAGAAAGAAAATGTGTACTTATTAGAAAGTCAGGTGCAGAGTCCAGTAGAGCAAGCTTGTTAATTTTGGTGTTCAGTTCATCTGTATTTTTGCTAAACTTTTGTTCTTCTCATCTATTGAGTACTGAGCGATGTGTTAATATTTCCCACAATGATTGTGCATTTGTTGGTTTCTCCTTGTAATATGGTCGGTTTTTGCTTTACGTTGTTTGAAGCTATGTTGTTAGGTGCACAGCTTCCTGGTAGATTGTTGCTTTTGTAATGACCTTATTTATCCCCATAAAGCTGTTTGCTCTAAAGTCTGTTTTATCTGATGAATAGAGCCATCTCAGCTTTCTTTTGGCTAGTGTTTGCCTGGTATATATTTTCTGTTGGGATGGTGGCAGGCAGAAAAGATGTCAGAGTTCCAAAAGAATGTAGTGGACAGTGGAAATGATTCTCAGGCAGAAAAATGACGTTCACTTGAGACTGACTCTGACATGCTTTCTCAACCTTTGCTTTTGGATTTTGATAGCACAGAAAATAAATTCCTGTTTTTAGAGAAGCAGTAAAAGGGAATACAAATCTTGTCATTATGTGATGGAGGACCACCCTGTGACCAGAACAGATTTGTTGGCCTTTGACGTGCCTGGGGGTGCCTTCCTGGGAGGTTCGGATCCTCCGAGGTTCTGTGGGCTACTCCCTGTGAAAGCTGAGGGAGCTGTTTACATCTCTGGTCCATGTTCTTCCTGCCAGTAGCAGCAATGAGACTTTTGTGGATAAAGTGTCCTGTGTGTATGTGCGTGCGTGTGTGTATATGTGTGTGTGAGCACACCTGAGTATGTGCTGAATAGCTTGAGCATTTGAAGTGGCAAAAGGGAATGAGAGCCCTTAACAACAAGTTTTCCAGCTGAGAAGTAAAACCTCCTATGACTCTAGGATTTAAAAATTACCCATCAAGCTGTTTATTGTATGATGGAACAATAGGTATAAAGCTGCCACCATCCTGGGAACTTGCAATTGCTCAGTGAGGCTTGTTACAGAGGCCTCCCACTCTACTTGGCACGGTTATCACCCTTACGGGGTTTTTTCTCTGTGATTTATTCTCAAACATTTTGTATTTCCTTTTGCCATTTAGATGAAATTTAAATAAAACTGTTATGTAAAGAACGGTGTCAGACTGTTACACGCTTTGGACTCATGATAAAATCAATCTGTATGTCATTCTCTGTTCAAATGAAGCGAAACCACCTGCAGTTTGGCAGTTCCTGTTAGCGGCTGTTCCTGTCCTGTGTGCTGAGCATCGCCTGGAGTAGCTAGCCTTGTTGTAATTGCCCCATGGAGAGACGAAAACAGGCATGAATCATAGTTGCCATTCTGTTCCGTTTTGGGTGTCCTCCTTGGTCCACATTTCTCCCAGTTTAGGTGGTCTTTCCCTTTTATAGACCCCGTCCACCTGGTTCCCAAAAGAAGGGAGAGGCTCCTCGTTTGTATCCAGACTTTAACCCCAGAACTCATAGTTGCCTTGACCTTCCTCTCAATGTAAGTGTGTTTAGGGTATATTTCTGGATTGATAGATTAGGGACGTAGTTTTTGCTGTGGCAAGTAATATTAAAATTTCCATTAAAGCTGCATCCGAATTTGAGTGACATATCCTGGTGTGATGGTCTTCAAATAATTCTTTTTTCCTTCCTTTTTTTTTAGGCTTATCCAAATCCCTCGGGCTCATTGAAGGTTATGGTGGGCGGGGCAAAGGTGGCCTTCCTGCTACCCTTTCCCCGGCTGAAGAAGAAAAAGCCAAGGGACCCCATGAGAAGTATGGCTACAATTCCTACCTCAGTGAAAAAATTTCACTGGATCGTTCCATTCCGGATTATCGTCCCACCAAGTAAGTTCTGATTCAGTCATTCAGAGGGGCTTGCTCCATCACGTGGCAGGGTGTGGGTCAGAGCCTGGGACGTTTTCTCAGGTCCATTGTAACTAGTGAGGGAGGTTTTATATGTCTCCTCCACGGTCAATAAACTGAGTACTGTTGGTTATGAAATAGCACCTAAATGAGAATTTAAACTTTTATAAAAGTAGTCTAGAAACATATAGCAAGTTCCTCCATACAAGAAGTTTTAAGTAAAAACAGAAATCACCATGATCTTATTACCTAGAGCTAGCGACTGATAAAATCTTAGTATATTGTCTTCGAGTCTATTTTCTGTAGAGGTTACGAGCATATGATATATTGTTTTTACCCTTTTATACATTTAATGTTATTTCATGAGCATGTTGTGATGTTATTAATCATGATCATTATTTCCATTGTTGGAGATTTAGGTTATTTTCAATTTTTCATTATTATGCATAGCACTTTGATGAATATCTTCCCATGCAAGGCTTTATGTGTATTGATTTAATATTTCCTTTCTTGTTTTTTTTTTTGTTGTTGTTGTTGAGGAAGATTAGCCCTGAGCTAACATCTGCCGCCAATCCTCCTCTTTTTGCTGAGGAAGGCTGGCCCTGAGCTAACATCCGTGCCCATCTTCCTCTACTTCATATGTGGGACACCCACCACATCATGGCTTGCCATGCAGTGCCATGTTTGCACCTGGGATCCGAACCAGCAAACCCCAGGCCACCAAAGCGGAGTGTGCAAACTTAACCACTGCGCCACCGGGCCGGCCCTAATATTTACTTTCTTAATCCACGCTTGTAGAAGTATAATCCTGAGATCTCATTATAGGAATATTTTTGGCAACTCTAGGTACGTATTGTGATATTTTCCTCCGGACAGTTTATAGCTACCTCGACTCCTATTGGAATTTTGCTTGGCCCTTCCAGAACTGGGTACTAGCATTTAAAAACTGCTTTGCCAAGCTGATAGGTGAGAAAGTGTGTCCCATGGTTGTTTCAGCTTATACTGTTTTGTTTGACATTCTCACCTTTTAAACAGTTTGCCTGCATCTTGGTTGTCTTACGAAAGGCCTTTCTTCTGTGCACTCAGATTTAAGAATTATTTGTTATCTCTTTGTGAAATAGAGAAAAGAGAGGGGTTGTTGAATGAAGATGCTGGAGGAAAACCTGCTTTCTAGGCAGGAGTCCCCCTTGGCTTCTCTAACAGATTCTTCGCCTTCTGTTAGATTTGTAGTGTCTCTCTTTTTCCATTCAGAGTGTGCCCTTGCTTAGAGTAGATTATTTCTTTTTCAAATGGATTTTGTACAAATCAGTTAAGTATCCTGGTTACTGAGAAAAATAGATTCAAGATAAAGAAAATTATCTTAAATGGTTTTAAAATTGCAGCATTAGCTGAGAAACCTGTTAAATCTCCCTGTCTGCCTAATAAGCATATATTCATTTTGAATTGCTAGGAAAACATATATCACCCCTGTTGGAAGCTATTTTGTGTTCCTGGACTTTTGTTCTCAAAAACATCTGGCTGTTTTCCTTTCCTGGTGCTCTCTGATTAGCCTGTCTTATTTGGATGTTGGCAAATAAACAGAGCCATATTTTTTTCACTCCTATGGGGATGAAAATGCTTCCAACATGGAACTTACTGGGAATAGTCAGTTGAACAAATGTAAATGGACACCCGTTACGTGCCAGATGGCTTGCCCCACACTAGAGGCAGAACATCAGATAAGACAGAGTCCTTGCCTACTTACTTCTTGTCTAGGGAGGGAGACAGACATGCAGGGAGATCAGTTCAGCACAGTGTGGTCTATGTGCTGTGTGTCAGGCCAGAGGTATACACAGCGTATGCAGGGAGGATATGGAAAAGTCTCTTGCTTGGGGTGATGCCTGAGCTTAATCCTGAAGGACCACTGAGGGTTGGGAAATTGAGGAGAGGAGAGGGATAAGGATGGACCTGGCAGGGGAACAGCAAGAGCAGAGTTGAGGGTGCAAATAAGAATATGGCGTGCTCAGGGAGGAATGAGTAGCTCGATGGTGCTCTGTAGTGTAGCATGGTGGCTTGAATGTGCCACTTATATCTGGTCCCTCCTGGAACTTTATTAAGATGATAGTAAAGGACTAAACAGGATGGCAACCCATAAGGGGCAACTAAACAGGTGATGACAGTAGTGAAGAGACACCTACAAAGGTTTGGAAAATGGAAAGAAGATGGATGAACGGTAATTGACATAGCAAACTGGATGAGGCTGAGACCCACCCTCATGCATATGGTGGGAAGTGGTGGTAAGAGCGGAAGAATGCAGCCTAGTCACAGTTCAGAACCCTGGGCGCTTCTGAAGGCTGGGAGGTCGATTTGAATAGAAGGATTAAAGTTGTATCCCCACATCCTTTCTCCAGCTTTGCACAGCCAGACACTGCCCTTCCCCACTAGGTGGAGTGTGGGAGGTTTATTCTCTGGATAAGGTGAACTCTGGGCTTTAGTTCATAAGATGTACCCAAAGATAGAGGATAAGGATGTGTACTAAATTGGGACACCCTCAGCCTCATTACCCCTTCAGGCTTTCACAACCCTGTAGTGAAGAATTTGAAGAATCCACTCTGTGGAAACCATCTAGCCTAAGAAAAAGGCCAATAGATCTGACAGCTGGGGGACTTCCCCCTAAAGTGGTTGGGTTCTGCTCTTAACTATTGGTAAGGTGTACTTGCTGTAAAGCTCTGTCCATCTGCACATAGCTGTCTTAAAGAAGAAAGGAGAGCCAGGATCCCTAGACATCTCCAGGAGTCTCTGTTATAAAAGGCCTTAACAACAACAACAGTAGAAAGGCATTTGGAGGAAACAGACACTACAAACTTTAAAACTATAGTCAACGACTTAGAGAGATCATGGAATGTTTTGTTTTACTCACAAAACAAGAGCCAAGTACTATGTTAAAGTAATAATCAGAGAATAAAAAAGAAATCTTGGAAGTTAAGATAGAAGTAAATAATTCAACAAAAGGTTGAAAGATAGCATTGAGAAAATCTTCTGAAAGATAGAAAAAAAGAAATGATGAATAGAAGAGAAAAGAGTTAAAAGAATTTGATCAGTCCAGCAAGTTAAACATCAACTAATAGGTATATCAGAGAGAAAACAGAAAAAGAGAGAAGATCATCAAACAAATGAAACGACAAAATTTCCCAGAACTGTAGGACATGAGCTTTCAGATTGGAAAGTCCCACACAGTGCCTACATGATGAATGCAAAGAAAAAAGTCAAACCCACATTAAGAACAGTTAAGTGTAAAATTTCAGTACAGCCTAGATGAAGAGAAAGTCCTAGAAGTTTTCAGAGACAATATGTGGATCAAATGCAGTTGGTATTGGGTTTCACAGTAGCAATGTTAAATACTAGGAGACAAGTTGAAAAAATCATTTGCAACTTAGAATTCTATAGTTAGCCATAACATACTTTGTGTCAAGAGCAAGCACAAAGTAAATACATTATAATTATGTAGGATCACAACAATTTTACCTTCCCTGATCTGCTTTCAGGAAGCTACTCAAGGATATACTCCAGTAAAACAAGAGAGTAAAGTAAGGAAGAGAATAGATTGAGGAAACAGGGAATTCAAACAGGAGAATACTAAGGGCATTCCCCAGAAAGATAATGAAGGGATGTTCCGGGGTAACATTCCAGGGAGACAGCTGTGTAGCAGGCCAAGAGATCAACTGTTCCACATTGCAACAGGAGGATGGAGGACTGTAGGAGCTGTGTCTTCAAAAGGGCTGGGGGACAGAATTATTTGATTATGTAATGTTTTTGACTGCATTAGGAAGATTTATTATTATTTTTATTGAGGTATAATTCACATAAAACAATATACTGGTTTCAGGTGTACAACATAATGATTTGATGTTTGCAAAATGATCACCACAAGAAGTCTAGTTAACATTCATTACCATCTACAGCTACAGATTTTTTTTCTTGTAGTGAGCACTTTTAAGATCTACTTTCAGCAACTTTCAAATATGCAATATAGTTTTATTAACTATGTCACCGTGCTGTACATTACATCCCTATGACTTATTTATTTTATAACTGGAAATTTGTACCTTCTGACTCCCTTCACTCATTTGGCCCACTCCCCATCCATAGCTTCTGGCAACCATCAATCTGTTTTCTGTATCAATGAGTTTAGGTTTTTTCTTTTACATTCTCTATATAAGTGAGAATATACGGTATTTGTCTTTCTCTGTCTGACATTTCACTTAGCATAACACCCTCAAGGTCTGTCCATGTTGTTGCAAATGAGAAGATTTTGTTCTTCTTTATGGCTGAATAGTATTCCATTGTATATATATACATATACCACATTTTCTTTATATGTTTGTTCATCAGTGGACAATTAGGTTATTTCATATCTTGGCTTTTATAAATAATGCTGCAGTGAACATGGGGGTGCATATATCTTTTCAAATTAGTGTTTTTATTTTCTTCAGCTAAATACCCAGAAGTGGAATTGTGGGATCATATGGTATTTCTATTTTTAATATTTTGCAGAACCTCCATGCTGTTTTCCACACTGGCTGCACCAATTTGCATTCCCTGCAGCAGTGCCCAAGGGTTCCCTTTTCTCCACATCCTCACCCACACTTGTTATTTCTTGTCTTTTTGATAGTAGCCATTCTAACAGGTGTGAGGTGATTTCTCACTGTGGTTTTGATTTGCATTTCCCTGGTGATTAGTGATGTTGAACATCGTTTCATATACTTATTGGCCACTTGTATGTCCCCTCTGGAAAATGTCTATTCAGATCCTCTACTCATTGTTTTAATTGGATTGTTTTTTTGCTGTTGAGTTGTATGAGTTCTTTATGTATTTTGAACATTAACCCCTTATCATCAGATATATGACTTGCAAATATTTTCTCACATTCTGTTAGGTTTCCTTTTCATTTTGTTGAAGGTTTTTTTTGCTTGATGTGGTCTCACTTGTTTATTTTGGCTTTC